ACCTAGGTATAGCAGCAACACTGAGGCCTGGGACTTTCAGTCCTGCTGCATTCTTGGGTACTCAAACTACAGGCTTCCCCCTCGGTGCAGTAGGTGTACAGGCAACCCCCGGTTAACACTCTTAATTGGGTCCGGGAAAACCAAGCATGAAGCAAAACCCATTTCCCCATAGTCATTATCCAGGTTATCCAGGCTGACCTGGACAGGCTCAGCAAGTGGGCGGACGAGAATCTGATGGTGTTCAACGCTGATAAATGCAAGGTTCTCCACCTTGGGAAAAAAAACCCGCAGCATCCTTATAGGCTCGGCAGTGCTATGTTGGCTAGCACTATGGAAGAAAGAGACTTGGGGGTCATCATTGACCACCAGATGAACATGAGCCTGCAATGCGATGCGGCGGCTAGTAAAGCGACCAAAACGCTGGCTTGCATCCATAGATGCTTCTCAAGCAAATCCCGGGACGTCATTCTCCCCCTGTACTCGGCCTTAGTGAGGCCGCAGCTGGAGTACTGTGTCCAGTTTTGGGCTCCACAATTCAAAAAGGATGTGGAGAAGCTTGAGAGAGTCCAGAGAAGAGCCACGCGCATGATCAGAGGTCAGGGAAGCAGACCCTACGATGACAGGCTGAGCGCCCTGGGGCTCTTTAGCCTGAAAAGGCGCAGGCTCAGGGGTGATCTGATGGCCACCTACAAGTTTATCAGGGGTGACCACCAGCATCTGGGGGAACGTTTGTTCACCAGAGCGCCCCAAGGGATGACGAGGTTGAATGGTCACAAACTACTTCAAGATCGTTTCAGGCTGGACATAAGGAAGAACTTCTTTACTGTCCGAGCCCCCAAGGTCTGGAACAGCCTGCCACCGGAGGTGGTTCAAGCGCCTTCATTGAACACCTTCAAGATGAAACTGGATGCTTATCTTGCTGGGATCCTATGACCCCAGCTGACTTCCTGCCCTTTGGGCGGGGGGCTGGACTCGATGATCTTCCGAGGTCCCTTCCAGCCCTGATGTCTATGAAACTATGAAACTATTAATGTAAATAGAAATAATTGGTTACTGCTGCTTCTTACTGTAGCTTCTCACCATCGCCGCTGCCTCTCCCCACCCCCTCCACCTGCCTGCTGGCCGCTCTGTCCCTGCGCTCCTGCTGGGTCTGGGACCACAGGGCCCCACACTCACTGCTTCTCCCTGCCACTGCTTCTCCCCACCCCCCCTCCCACCAGCTGCTCCAACTCCACGTGCCAGCCTGGGGTCCGTGCTCCTGTTGCCCCACCCTGAACCCCTGCCAGCACTAACAGGGGCCCCGCACTCATGCCTGCCTCCCCATTCACTGCTTCTTGCTGCCTCTGCTTCTCCCCACCCACCAGCCACTCTGACACCATGCGCCAGCCTGAGCCCCCTGGGCCCTGCTGGCCCTGACCCTGGGGTACCAGTGCGGGCCCTGAGCTCATGCCCGCCTGCCCACTCACTGTCATTCACCACTTCTTGCCGCCGCTGCTGCTTCACTGGGCACTATAACAAAACTGGCTCAGTGCTAAGTGAAATCAGGTATGAATTTTAAATGGGAGCTATAGCAAAATAGCGCTAAGTCAAACTGCGTTAAGCGGGGGTTGCCTGTAGGCTATTTGACAGGGAGAACAGTTCTGGCATGCATGCCTGACCCAGTTAGGAATCAGAAAAGGAGTATTTGTCACACTAGGTCACCTATAAGTAAGGGGAACTCAGTAGCTCCAAAAATTAATACTGCACAACTGCAGAAACCAAGTTGGTCCCTCTTTGAGCTCTCGTACTAGTACCAAAGCTGTCCAGTGCATCCTCATGCTCAATAGAGCTTTGGAAACATCACACAGGACTGGAGGGGGATTTGGATTCTGTTCTTCCTACAGTTCCATCTATTATTCCATTCTCCAGATGTGTCCCCATCTTAGTCCCATTGATCTACTGGTGCTACAGGAGTGCTGTCCACCAGCTATCAGTTAGCCTAACCAAGCCCTCTCCTTCAGTTGCTCCAGTCATCAGTATCTCTTAGTGGCTAAGACCAGAGCAGTGGATCATACTAATAGGCAAGGTCACCAGATGTGAGCATACCAAAAAGCTGTGGTAGCCACCTCTTCTCAGCCAAATGCTTCAGGAAGGCAGCAAGGATAGGGACAGGCCAGCAGAAATACCAAGGACATTTTGCAAGCTGAAGAACTCATCTCATACAAATGAGAACCTGCCAAATGAGCACAAACTAGGGACCCCTATAGTGCTTTTGCCCAGGCAGTACCAAGCACTTTATCTAGATGTTCTGCACCAGAGCCTGAGCTCTCAGCTGAGTAAGAGGCACAGCCAATCCCTAATCATAGTCCCTTAGTGTTCAACTCAGAGCCAGAGAGAAATCAAGCATTTTCCAATTCATTTCTGCAGGTGGGAGCTCTGATTCTCCTCACAGGCCAACAGACTCGCTGACTAGGTCATCTCCTGCTTTTCATTACAGCACCAGATGTATTTGCTCTAATGGTTTCTGCAGGTGGTGCTGGGCATGAGAGGGTGCAGCCCCAATTGTGAGTTGTCAGCCAAAATCAAAGTTAATCCAGGAAAGCAGTAAAATTAGTAATGTATATTGCATGCATCTGATCCATACGTTTTCCATTACACAATCTTCCATCTCTAGGCACAGAGAGCAAACTCTTCTGACTGCCGCAGGGTTCCCAGTTCTAAAAGGCAACGATTGCTCGTCCCTTGAAATCTAATCTCTGTCCTTTGTCCCCAGTGACCTATCCCCAGACACACTGGCTTTATTCAGAACAACTGATGTGTCTCCCATCTTCAAACTCAAGCTGATAAGCAGCCGATCCAGTTTTATTCTGCAGCCAGCTCTATGCCTACCCTATCTGCAAACAAGTGAACTCCCCAGGTTGTAGTTCCTGGAAGCCTGTAGACATTTGACAGTAGGGGGCTGGTGATGGGCAGAGAGAGAACTTGTAGCCCCATGCAGACACACACAGAGATACCCATCTTAAGTTGTTATTTGTTCTTGCCTGGCAAGAGTTTTAGCCTGAGTTTTAAGCTAAAACATTATTCTAGAAGTAATCATCATATCCCCACAGGCAAACAAATGCATTTAGCACATGTATGAATAGGACTGTCCAAAACATTTGAGATGAGCCCCTCTCGGAGCACCAGATGCACCCATACCAAGCTTTGGACAGACTGCTCAGCCTGCAGTGTGCCAGGATAAATGCCAAGTAGGAATGCCCAAAAGTTTCATCTCTATTAAATATGAACTGTCCCAGGAGCAGCAGGGCTCTGTACAACTATCTGGCTTCAGAGCTGGAGTTTCTCAGCTAGAAGGCTGCCCATATACTATGAGTCTGTAGATTGATAAACCCAAAACAGATGAGCTCCTTTCCACCCCACATAGTCACAAAAGAGTCTAGCTCTAGACCCAGATCCTCTTCCACCTATTAGATTCCCTGCATGAACGTAGGTGACTAAGTGTGATCTTATTCTACACTGAGTGCCTGAAAAAGCATTAATGCAAAAGGTGGGTGGAATCTCCTCCTCCTTTCCGCATTTTCTGATTTAGTCTTAAGGCTAAGATGACAGCATGTAATAAAAATAGATGTGTTAACCATTCTTCAGAGACTCAAGGAAGGTGGAACAAGGGCTTGCATTGAGGTGTCCTAAGTCCTCTCAGGCCCCTAGTAGGTGGAATAGGATCTGACCCCAAGTCATCTACTCCATTACCACTGCCAGGCAGTATGTAGCCGGCTGAATGGTTGATGGCCTCTGCCTCAGAGGTGGCTGCATGTGTGTACCTTTTAAAAGCTCTCTGGGATCAAAGGCACTCTTCAGGCAGTAGACAGTGTCATCATCTCCTCATTACAGCCTCATTTCAAACTCTTTTTCCACCCTTGGATTTTGCAGTTCTGCACATCAAACCTGTTAAACCATGTGTTAATGTTTTAGTGTTGATGTGTTACTGCACTATCCTTTACAGACTGAACTGCAATAAATAATATGTCTGGGCATAGCAACCAGATAGATGAGACAGAGTTAAGTAGCTTGAATTATTTTAACATTGTTTTAATCTGGTGAAGAAACTTCTCTGGATGCTAACTATCCAGGGGATCGCAGGACTATTAAGCAACTTAAAACAAAGTAAAAACAAATGCTTTCAGTATTCTTAAATAGGCCTTACTGTAAATCAGTATTACCATTGTAGTACTTCAGGAGCAGCCACTCAGTAATGAGCAGTATGCCATGCAAACGGAAATGATTATTGTGTACAGATGAAAAAGCAAAAAATAGCGAGCACTGTGTTCGTTTCTGACATCACTGTAAATTCACACGGAAGGACTGGCTGTGTTGTAACTGTGCAAATGGACCAATTTAAATGTTTTGTTATGTGTAAGTGTGAGACTCATCACAGGCAGCTGGGCCAGGTTGTGACTCTAGCACAGTAAGTGTATGTGTCCCTCTGCCATCCTGCCAGAGCTGCCCCCCTCACGTACAGTGCACACTCAATGTGATTGCAATATGACTTCATTGGGAAGGGACTGGGGCTTGGAAGCAGTTTTCTCATAGAGTGGTATCTGTCTCTAAATGCAGTGATAAGAGCAGAGGAAGCAGAATTACTACAAGTAGTGGATTGGTCTTCCGCTGTCCAAGGCATAAACCAAATACCTTTTGTTTGTATAACCAAGAGGATTGTTGAAGCATTTTGGGTGTCGCTGGCAAGTGTGCAGATTAGTTGGTTTGCACCAATAAGCCGTCCTTCCTTCTTTAGCATGTGATTGCATTGTGTGGAAGGCATTTTCCAGGAATCATTCCAACTCACCTCAATGTCTCGAGGCAGGGACTGTATTCTGAGTTGAAACCATAAGCAGTGCTGCAGATAAGAAAGTGCTTCTATCCTCCTCGTGTCCTACTCTCCCTGAGGGCTAGTGATTACAAACTTGGTGCCTTTTGACACAGCAGCTTTCTTGTGATGTTGACTCTGACCCTTTCTTTTGCAGAGAATGTAATTAATGGACCGGACTACGAGGTCATGATGCAAATAGACTGCGAAGTGATGGACACCAGGATTCTGCACATCAAGAGTTCATCTATACCTCCCTACCTGCGAGAACAACAAAGAAATCAGACTGATACCCTCTACAGCTCTTCTCCCACTGTCCCAGAGGCAGCCCACACCATAAGAGCACTTGTTGAATCACTGCAGTAGCACCTAAGCACTTCAGAACTGCGGTCTCCAGACCTCAAAAGGAAGCAAGGTCATGTGGTACTACAATTACACACCTCCTTACCATTACTACTATGGGGTAAAGAGCTGGGCATTGCTCAGCACCATGATTCGGCTGCCTGATCTAGCCCTTCGATAGTCTGGCAGTACCTGGGATTCTGACATCTGGAAGGCTCTGCCTGAATATTACTCCAGCTTTGACATTACCCCTTGAATGTAACCTTTCACCAGAGCCCTTTCCTGCATGGTCTCCTCAGCTTGGGCAGTGTTTAAG